GGTGACCCTGTAAACAGATGTGTAAATAAAGGGTCAGACTAGCATCCTCCATTCTAGGTCATGTCTAGTCAGGGAAGATTGTCACAAGTTTTTCTTTTTAATGAAATTCCTACTTTTTAATGGAATATAGTAAACAAGGACTTGAAGCTGACTGATGACTGCCTGGGCTGGGCCCTAGGTCTCTTGTCTTAGGATAGAGGGCTATTTCTACCACAATGTGTCCTCTGCCCAGCACACAGGCAACACCATTAGAATGAATCTGTCATCAACAGAGAGTCATTCAATACATTTGGAGAGTATCAAAAATAGCTTGGCAGCTCCGAGGACCACTATTTAAAAACTTAAAACCAAAGTACACCCTGAATTTAAAATGTAAAGAAATACACAGTGTGGGTTTAAAATATTTGCATTCTCTTCCTTGCCTTTCAAATTGATAGAGTAGAATCTAAAGTGTGTGTACATTTACAGCTACTTCTACACAGGCAGAGTGAAACTGTCGGTAGGGTGAAGCTGGCAGTAAACTCTTTTTGTCCCCCCTTACTTTCATTTTTGCCCTTCCCACATTCTCCAGGAAACTCTATTCTGCTATTTTCTGGATGTACAGGCAGAGTGAAACTGTTGGTAGGGTGAAGCTGGCAGTAAACTCTCTTTGTCCCCCCCTTACTTTCATTTTTGCCCTTCCCTCATTCTCCAGGAAACTCTATTCTGCTATTTTCTGGATGCTTGATGTAAAAGAGAAATGACTTTAATGATTGAATAACAGTTACAAATTTCCATTTCATTTTGCTTAGCAGCTCAGATGTGGTTTAATGAAGCATGAATAGAATCCTCCCAAAGGTGGATCTGAGCTGAACTGATGAGGCTTCTGACTGCCAATGCTTCTGCACACTAAAATAGCAGCATAACCTAATACATGTATTTGTTATCTGTTACTAAGAGAAAATGACCAACCCACCCAGAGAAACAGAAATACAGTGGATCATGAGACTACTCAAAAGAACAGAAACCTGTTGGTTACACTCAGAATGTTCACACACTCTTCAACAACAACAACAACAAAAACAAATGTTTCCAAACAATCAAAATAAAAGTCTTCACCAAAGATATATTTGTGTGTGTGGTTTTTTTAAGTGTCTGGCCTAAATACTCTTCAAGTGGTCAGTTCAAATCAAGAAAGTATTTTTTCCCAAACATCAAGTTGATAGGTAGATATCTTTAAGATATCACATCTCTTCAGTAAATATTTCTTCAGTGCTCATATGTGTAGAATTCTGCAGAGGATCTAACTGACCTGAAGGAGATGCAGCGACATCGAAGAGATCAACCCTGCCTGCAGGAGACTTGCTGTGCCAATCATACTGGCTCTGGAGCAGGCACCTCCATGAGCAGCAGTAATGCTTCTCTAATTTCATGAAATATTACTCTCTTTTCTCAAAAATTCTTCATAAACCTTGGGCCTGGAGTTGATTTCCATGATTAATTTAAGAGAAAGCAAGAAAATAGATAAATGAGTGTGAGACTCTGAGTTTGGTTCTGGCCTTTAATAGTCAGATTATGATTTTGAGCAAAGTGGACAATAACTTATTGTGACTAATAAAATAATATTGATCTTGCCATGGAATAGGAACCAAGGATTCAGAGCCATCCATGTGTACTAATTTGGATATGGCAAGCTTAAAACCTATTTATAACTTTTAAAGTATTTTATGGCTCTTTCTTTCCAAAGAAGCACACATCATATTGCACAAGGTTTGTTAATATACAAGTGTTCTTCTCTGCCAAAAGCAGCTGAGAAAGCAAAAGGATTACCCAAGGATTGTTTTTCCAACCTGACTTTGACTTTGTAATGGGTAATTGTACAGAAATATTTGGTACTTAATAACCTTGAAACTTTGAATTCAAAAAGATTTTATGGCTCTAAGGCTACATGGTCTGTTGGCTCAGGTTCATAAATCCTCCAAGAATGGATCTGGCCATTGTAACTGTACCCACCTTTGTGCTGATGTAAAACAATAATGCCTAGCCCTAGCACGGTGCCTGCCTGTGGGGGGCGCTGGATGGTTTATCAAGCTGACCTGGGTATGAATTATGGCTTCTATTTAAATTGGTTTGGAAGGAGACCTGACTTGGGATGGGAAACACACAATACAATACACCGTACAGATGATAAATTGTAGAATTGTGTACCTGAAGCCTGTATAATTTATTAACCAGTCACCTCCAATAAATACAACTTAAAAAAAAAAAAAGAACAAATTGGCTTGGAAAATAAGGAACCTCCATTCCTCTTAATTTATGTTTTCAGAGAACCTCAAAATACCAGATTATTAGCAATGCTTGCATTATCTCTGCAATCCAAAATCAGGGCTATCCGGGCACCATTTTATACAAAATGAACAAAGTTTCATACAAAGCTGTCAAATTTTGACTTTTCCATTGAAAGAATAAAAGCACGCCAGTCAGGGGTTACATGGGGAAGGGGGAGAGTGGCTGCATTTTCTCTGGGACTATGGCAGGGAAGCATCTAATTTCCAGAAGCTGAGTTTTTGACACAGGGATCCCAACCTGGGATCAGAATTTCCTTGTAGATCTCACCACTATACCTCGTGAACATCCAAGCCGCTGGCTGCACTCCCAGACACCCTCCTTCCTTGATGTTATCACAGTCCCCTCCCAGGTGGGCTCCCCATCCAGGCAGAAAGAGAGGTGAAACAGCCCAAGTCACTCTTCTCTTTAAGTCTTCTCTATAAGTACCAAGCTTCTCCTCACAAAAGAGTTTTTGCCTGAGCCTCATCTAAGTACAGTGATTCTTAAGTAACATTGCAAGATGGCTGTTAAATATTAAAAAACACGCCTCCTCTGTTTCACGGCCTACTTTGTTTTTCTGATTTTTAAAAATTATCTTTCATCATACGGGTACACACAGTCCCTTTTAAACCTGTGCTTTACTTAAGCAATGAAGACAGAGTGTTTACAATTTCACTTGCTGGCTCTCATGTACCTGAAAATGCTTTATCTTTCTTCAATTGGATTTTAAAAAAACATTTTCCAAAAAAACTTTAGATTCCTTATTTCTCCATTTCTCCCACCGAGAGTTCAAACTTAAAAAAAAAAACTGATGACACCTCCAAAGGCCAACTTCATGCCAAAGTCAGCAAGATGAAAAGCAGAATTTAACATTTTGTATAAGAATATTTACATTCCCATTAACTTTTGCAATATATCTCATCCTCTTGGGCTGACTGCAGAGGTGCCCTGGGAAGAGAAACAGAAGTCTGTGCCTCTCTCATAAGTTAACATACTAAACTGCTTTAAAGGGAATAAATGGTGTGGCCTGGGTCAATTAATGTATGGACTTCAGTGAACACTCCTGGTGGAAACTACTTAAAAATTATATGCGTGAAACATTCTGCTCTCATTAAATATCTTCGTCCAAACCTCAACATGACAATGATTTTTATGGCCTAATTGAATGTACTCTTAATAAAAAGAAATTGCAAAAAGCTGATATAAAAATATATATAATCACTAAATAGTGTATTTTCTTCAAATGCTTTAAAGGTCTGCTGGTAGAAACCAGCGGTTATGTAACAAGTCGATTTCAAAAGATTCCACCTTTTACGATTACATCCTGATAAAATAGTTGAGCTAAAGTCCCTAAATATTCTCACAATTCAAATAAAAGGAAATACATTAATTCTTTGCTGAGGGGGAGGGGGAGGAGAGACAATATATCATGAGAAAGCTGCACCAATCTTCCCCAAGAGTTAGGGAGGAAACACAAATTTGTCATTTCAGGGTACTAATGTATGATCCTCTGAAACAGAATGTGGTGCCTGATAAACTTAGGTGTCTACAGTTACTTAGCTTGGCTAGGCCCGGAGCAATTAAAGCTAATGTTCTCCCCAGCACACCTAGACCTTTTTTTTCTTTCTGGCTTTGCCTCGCTAGTTGTCCCCAGCACCAGCTCTTTGGGGTCAAGGAAGGTTGGGGGCCCTCCTTCTCACTCTCCAGACCGCAGGTAACCCAACTCGGGGTAAGGTTGCCCCAGTTCCATGGCCCTCCGCGCCAGGGGGGGCACTGGCCTGCCAGCGAACCGCCCCAGGCCTCGGGGCCCCCAGCTAGGCTGTCCAGGTCGCGGGCTCTGTCACTGAGGCCGAGCGCAAAGAGCTCGCGTTTTCGTTTTGGAAAAGCGACGCAGCTCCCTCCGCGGGCGCAGTCCCCGCGCCCTGGGTCCCGGCTGGGGCCGCAAGGGGTTCCTAGGACTTTGA